TATAATAATAATAATAATAATAATAATAATAATAACAACAACAACAACAACAACAATAATCATGATGATGATGATGATGATTTTACTTTTTTAATATCATCATTTACTTCTAAAACAGTTTCATTGTGCTTGAACATTATTGAAGACTATTTAGCATTTTGAACATTAAGAGATATGTGAAAATTTATAGATGAAGCATGTGTCTTTAGCACAAGCACACTTGTTTAAAACAATAATGGTTACTTTAAGGCTAATTTATAGCTTTTATGATGTTATATTTGTATTATTTTTCTGTTTAACTTATTTGCAATATTTTGTTATTATATCAGAGTAATTGAGGCCCACCCGTCTCTTGCCCATGCAGCCATGCACGTGGCGGCTGCTGTGAACGAAGCAGGAGCCAAGGCAGGACCTAGCACCCCTAGCAGGACACAGACAAGGAGTACAGGTGATTGATGGCATATTAAAAGACATTTAGGTTATATCATATTTAAAGAAATAAGGTGTGAATGTTTGCTTCTGAAGAAGACTGTGTTATTGTGTTATTTATGTTGCTTAAAGTTACATTTACAGTTGGCATGGATTCCCAGTAATATTGTACAATGTAATGCTCTTGTACAAGTAAAATAAAGTTGACTTGCCAAGTCACAAACCAAATTATTCCCATTTTCTGCCAAAACATTGATTATTTCCTAACCAGGATATGCTATAGTATTTGAGTAACTGTCCTGAGTGAAATAATGAGGAAAATGTGTCCCCTATCTCATACTGTGTTATGTGATTGTAATAAGCCTGTTTTTGTTTTTTAGGGACCTTTTCACTAGATCAGATGTCTGATGATGAAGATCTGATGGAGCAGGTACAGGTATGTGACCAACACTACCATGTTTGTATTTGTGAAGTTACAGGAAAATGTCAAAGTACAGAAACAGTAAAAACTGAGTGCTAGCCTGTTGCAAATTTAAAAGGTGATAAAACATTCTAGGTTTTAAAGAATAAAATGGAACTTGGTATTTTCACCCTGTCTTTGCAAAGAGTGATACATTTAATTTTTTTGATATTGAAAATAAAGTTTCATTTGATACTTTCAACAAAAGGAAACTTTTAAAAGGTGTTTCTCCTGTTAATGTGTGAGGTGTACACTGTCACCTGTGCAATATATGCCAGATCACCTCCACACAGGTGCATATTTCACAAGTGTATTATTTCACATACATACTGAGAGAAAATACTCACATTGCACAGAAAAACACCCCAAAAACCAAATGAACTTAATGTTGCAATGGTCACATAACATGTGTAACATTGCAGCCAGCAGCAGGTGGGCCAGCAGGTGCCCCATTATTAGGTCAGTCTCCAGGAGGGATCACAGCAGCTCACCTGGCAGCAGCACTGGCAGCAGCAGCAGGAAGATCTAGGGTAAGTTGTAGGATTTTATGTCTGTTAGTTTCTGTAGTGTCAGCTGCATAGATCTCATGGAAATGGGACAAAATCGGGGCTTTTGTCCAGGCATACAACTCTGGTGCTAAAGAGAAGGCTTTAAAATTTTAGGAAAATCTATCAACCAACTCCTTACATAAAAGCCAAAGTGACAAATTAAGTCATTAAGTACATTTTCAGTGTAACAAGGTTCTGTACCCGATGTAGTTTGAGATGTACAAAGGTCTTGTCTTGATTTTCAGCCCCCTGATGGTAGTGGTCCGTCCACCAGTGGTCAGGGTCCGCCAGTGATCACCTCGGACTTCTTTGCCCAGGCCATGCAACAAGTGGCTCAGTCCCCCAATATGACTGGACCCCATGTGTCTGGACCTCAGCCACCATCACAGGTAAGGTGGGGATTTATGTGCTAGCTAGGCTTACTTAACACCTTTGTGATATTGAAATTTGGAGCAGTGATCAGTCACATGTTGAGTGCCCCTAAGGCTGACTGGTTTTGGGATCAATTGGTGCATTTTGTTGGTTTGATGACAAGCATAAGCCATAGTCTTGACTCTTTGTTTTAAGGATTAATATGCAAACACATCTATACATACATTACAGCAGTATATATCATTCATGAGAGTTTAAAAATATTCACACTACGTAAAATTCTGAAAGCTAGTCAAGCTTTTGGAAACAGCATTGGTCACGGTATTGTCCAATAGGTGTCACTGCAGACACTGGTGAAAACAATTGCCAGTGTCTGCAATGACACCTAGTGGACAATGTCTTGGCCTGGTCTAGTGTATATACTGAAAACTTACCTTCTTGAATTCTTTAAGAATTGTTATGTGGTGTTAATACATTTAAATCTCTAGGAATGCTATTTTTATTAGGTTAGATATATGCTAGTTGTGTTCTCTCCAACATTGCTCAGAATAAGTCCTCATGTACTAGCACTGGGTGCATCATGACAATCTGAGGTTCCTTTGTCCAGAAACGATGGAAAATGAACCAAGTTGAGACATAAGAATAGGGAATAAGAGTATGAAATCCTTCATAGGAGTAAAATTCAACACAAAGTCTGATATTAAGCTGATTAGGGCAATTATGAATAATGTTAAAAATATTTATTGTACTAAGATTATTGTACTAAGAACATAAAAAGCTCTGCAGCAGGTAATAGATCGAGAGCATGACTGAGCACTTCAGATAATATCCCTCTACACTATTGCATTTGATGTGCTACTGGCTGTGGCAGATCTGGATTGAAATTTTAATTTCAATGAAAAACAGCGGCAACATTTGTGATGTGGTAGTGGGGGGATAAATTCTAAATTAACTAATGTCTGTGTAAACACATATCAGTCTGTCCGCAGATTCCGAGCTGCGCGTGCACACTGTCTGAAGCGACGGCCATTTTCGCACTACTTTCAGCAAAATCGAGTGAAAATGGACGACTTTTGAGCTCTTCGTATTTTCATGTGTATTTTTGTCAACAGTTGGTGTGATTAAACGATATATATATAAAAAGAAGCGGGAATATCTAAGGATTCGGAATTTTAAGGTTAGTTGTCATAAAAAATAGATTCAGAACGGTAAAATGGAAGATTTATCCACGCGGGTGATTGCAAATGGTGTCCCGTTTCAGGTGTCCGAAATTTTCTATTTAAAGATTTCTATTAGAAGTTTAAATTGTACAAATTTTTAAAAACTAAATCATGAAAGCTGGTTAAACTGGCTTTCAGGCAGTATATATGTATTGAAGATTCAGCTTTGTCCATTTTTTTAGCGCGAGGTGAACTCGACGCCAAGCACTCGCATTTTTGAAGCGTGTAACACTAGGGTGTTTCAATTTAAACAAAATTGCTACAATGTTGAAATCACCAGCGTTTTATATATATTCTAAAAGGTAAACAAGTGTGCTTTGTGTTGATATGAAACACATGTTGCGTTTGGGCCCCACCTCGTTGGCAAAGTGTTCATATTCCCGTGAAGTCGGTGTAAAAGTCGGCAAAATCGATTAACTAATGTCCGACTTGGCAAGACTACAAGTTTTCTTAAATATTCTGAATATCAGAGCAAACAAGTTACAATAAAATTAAAATACGAACAAGTGCTGTGTATCTACCATCAGAAATATTTCAAGAGTTATGTGCTTCATTCTTAAAACATCAAAAATTGTATAGTTATGATCCACTCCACAAGAAATCCAGTGTGAATTTTGACCGATATAGAAAGATATTGCTAGATCTAGTTATAAAAAAAAAGTTTTTTTTTAATTGGATAAATATTTACAATGAAGTACTGGCCTATGGCCAGGTTGTACTTTTTAAAGCCTGAAAGGGTTTTGACAAAAAAAATCATTCAACTCCGGTTTATTCATTATAATANCCTGTGAAGTCGGTGTAAAAGTCGGCAAAATCGATTTTTTCAAGTGCAGTAAGTTACTGTGATTATGTATCGCAGGAAACGCAAAATATTATCAAACAATTACATCCTGCAGAAAGATAAGATCATAAACTTTCAAATGATAGGCCTATATCATAAGGTATATCGCCTACAATTTTTACCCATTTTGTGTGGGGAAATTAGTGCATCTCCAAAACGACGACAAAAATGGAACCCCATTTTCATCATAATTTATAGCGTCACGTGACCAACCTGAAGCACTGACCCGACTTGGCAAGACTACAAGTTTTCTTAAATATTCTGAATATCAGAGCAAACAAGTTACAATACAATTAAAATACGAACAAGTGCTGTGCATCTAACATCAGAAATATTCCAAGAGTTATATGCTTCATTCTTAAAACATCAAAAATTGTATAGTTATGATCCACTCCACAAGAAATCCAGTGTGAATTTTGACCGATATAGAAAGATATTGCTAGATCTAGTTATAAATAAAACAAGATTTTTTTTAATTGGATAAATATTTACAATGAAGTACTGGCCTATGGCCAGGTTGTACTTTTTTAAAGCCTGAAAGGGTTTTGATAAAAAAATCATTCAACTCCGGTTTATTCATTATATTAAGATCTGCACTTCTGCCTTGTTCTCTTATTTTACTGCTCAATATTTATTTCTATGTACTAGTACTATTTTTGTCTCTTACATATTAAACTATTCAAAATAAGACCCTTACAATTGTAATTTGAAAAAAATATCCCTAATCTATTTAAAATTCACATTTCTCTTTTTAAAAGTGCAAAATTTTGAAATCTGTGTGATAAACAAAACTAAGTAAAAATTTAAAACTCATGTCCTTAAAGCACTGTCCCTGGGAAATGTTCATTCAGCCTCATGAATATGCACTGAACTTTTTGAAAGTTTTTTTGAAACTTTTTGCCTTTTAAGTTAAAGCAGTTAACAAGGCTCCAATAAACTCGTTGGCCAACTTGATATGTCTATTCTGAAGGCAGGAGAAGCACCTGCCCCAGCAAGTTATGAATATTACTTTAGCCAAAACTGACATACAATTAAGATCATCCCCAACTGAAAATTCTTGAATATAATTTGTAATTAAATATATATATCAAAGTGCATTAAAAATGAAAAAAAAAAAAACTTAAGTATACGAGTATGTTTCAATTTTTTTATTTCCGTAGAATCTTCAATGGCCAGGTCATTTACCTGGATATGATAGTCAGAAAACAAAATCAATTTTCAAGTTCAAAATTGGGCTGTTTTCCCAGAGTGCCACCTTGCCACTCAGTGGTTGATAGATTCCTTGACTAAATGATCATCAAAACGTGGCCCCTATAAAACTGCTGTCAAAATTTTGTTAACTTAAGCATAATATTCCCCAAACTTGACCTCCAGTCAGATTCGGTTCTTTTGAGTGCACTGTATCCTCTCTCCACCTGAGAAGTGGACAGGCTGAACAAGGCAATTTCAATTAGCATCAATTTATGTATTCTAATCTTTGTCTGGTCTCCTAGCCTTGAAACAAATCAGTACACATATCTTTACTTTTATTCACTATAAACATGCCACCTATGTGCTCTTTAAAGGCAGGCCACTCTCAATGGACGTCTTTTGGGTCAAAGCCCATCCTGTATAATACTTGAAGAAAATGATGTACCAGAACTTGTCTGCTATGAGAAAGGTTTCTAGGGTAAACAATATCCAAGACTCTACAAAACACCATGCATCTCTTGTTCAGTCACACCTGCATCAACAGCACCATCAAACAAAATCGTATAGAAAATAATTTTCCCTGGTCTTGACCAGAACACCTCTTCCCTTATTGTCAGCTGATATGCCCAAATTGGGAATCTGTTAAAAATAAATATAATAAAATGATAAAATCATACATGTAGAAACAAGAAATTTATACAAAGCAGATAAAAACTGAAATTTAATGAAAAATCCATAGATTAAAAAAAAATCACCTCATTGTCAGTCTCACACCAGTTGTTTATCAAAATAATTTCTTACCATACTATATAGTAATAATAATTCCTTGGTCCTACTACTAGTACACATTTTATGTAAACAAAGTACAACTGTAACTTTGCAACAAAATGTAACATTCACTAGTACTGAACGTCAACAAGTGCATCTGAACTATGCGAAGGGAGGTTACTCCAAAATCATTTCTATCCATTTCGGCGCTTATATGAAACATAGTGAATTAAAAAAAAGACTCACCTTTTAGTCGGCAAACCCAAAGCTATGTAACTTGAAAGGCAGATTTTTCCATTCTAAAACCATATACACTGTATGTTATGGTTGATCTCCAGCACCGATGTCTTTTTTTCACGTATTATTTTCCATTACAACTCTCANAAAAAAAGCCTCACCTTTTAGTCGGCAAACCCAAAGCTATGTAACTTGAAAGGCAGATTATTCCATTCTAAAACCATATACACTGTATGTTATGGCAGCATGGTTGATCTCCAGCACCGATGTCGTTTTTTCACGTATTATTTTCCATACCAACTCTCATTATGACAGTGACACATTGTATACAATGAATGTACACTTGAAAAAGCTGAACATTCAATTGTTTTAACCGAAATGGAAAATTTTCAGAGAAAAACGCTCTCGACTCACTCGCTCAGTGCAACGTGGCAGTCTCAGTTTTGACTGACCCATATAGTTCGCACTAAAATAGTGATTTCACAAAAAAGGACGGTTGTACAATTTTTTAATTATTTTTGGCTCAATTCCAGCATATATAGTTGCATAAATCGTAATAATATCAATAAAATAAGTTTGTCCATTTTTTCTACAATCATTTTATTTTAGGGTACAAAATTCCACGATCAGCTTGAGAAAAATGCGTGTGCTATTTTTAGACATCTGATACAAGGCTTTTGTCGAAATTGAACTGTTTATTTTATATTGTGCGCTTACATCAAGTTCTAAATTTTATTCCTTGAAAGTTTCAAGCGAAATA